CTGTTTAGTCCCTATAGGAAGGTAACCTTTTATATTTAATTTTTACCTAATTTAACATATTTTAAAACCACACTGTAGGCCATTTGACTGCATGTTTACCGACAAACAATATTTTGGGTATTTATAATGAAAACATGGAAAAAGACTTTGCTGAAAAATCTCTTAGAAAGCAACAGAACACTCGGCCCCAGTTCCTAAGTAATGAAAATAAAGATTTCTGTTTTCCCTTAAGAAGCAAGGTGACTGCTAATTTCCAGTTCACTAAAACTTTAATTCAGACTGCACTATTCAAAATTGGTGGCTGTGATAAACATCATTCATTAAGCACCCACTTTGTGCCAGGCTCCTCACATATATTGTGTCTTTGGTTCTTAGAGCACCCTGCAAAGTAGGTACTGTCATCCTTAGGTACTGGTCTCTGTCCTTATGGGTTTATGACCTTTTTCTTTTTTAACTCCTTTACTATTGGAGGGGTGGGTATACTTTGCTGTGCTTTCTGGAAATGTTGATGGTCAAGGATTTCTAAGGTCCTCGCAGTTCTTAAATTCATTGGTAGCTTTTACACACACATCCTTGCCCTTCAGAAACCTTGTATAATGAGTCACTCAGGACCTCTGACTTTTCCCTGTGAGCTGAAGTTTAGTCTAGGGAGCAGGCCTCAGAAAACCATCTCCAGTGTGATTTCAGTGTTCATTCTTGGCCACTTCGTCCCCCACACTGGGCTCCTCCGAAGGAATGGCCTGCCCTCCCTTCTGTCTCACTCTGCCATTATTTCAAGAATGTTTACTGGGGCATTAGGGAGAAGAGCTTATGCCAGAGCCCACAGATTATTTTCAGTGTGCAGCTGTGGCAGAAAAGGACCTTTCTGCATCAAGGAGCCCAGGGCGCCCTTAATGATGTACTTGGAACAACATTTCTGGCAACATACAAAGGTGCATGGTGGATGTTGACCCCAACTCAAAGCTTGTGTGTTGGATCAGCTTTGTAGTGAAGGTATTCTCTGTGGCATTTGGAAAACAGTCTGTTAGAGCAGGGCTGCTGCCTATGGAGAGGCCAGCCCAGCTGTGGGAGGAAAGGCCTGGAGCAGGGCCAGGGTCACAGACAACTTGGGTTCTGGTCTCTAGAGAGTTGGGTTCTGGTCTCTAGAGAGTGCTCTGCTTTATGCAGGCAGGGGCCCCATCAGGCCATGCATATCATAGATGTAAGCTCTCTGGCAGGGCTGGTGGGCCGTGGCTGAAGAGCTGTTGTTTGGGCTCAAAGAGCAGAATTCTGTTTTCGGTTGTTTGTTTGTTTTTATCCTCATCCAAGGACATTTTTGCATTTATCTTCAGATAGAGCGGGAGGGAGAGAGGGAGAATGAGAGAGAAAGAAACATCAATGAGAGAGAGACACATCGAGTGGTTGCCATCCACACAACCTCACTGGGGTCGGGGACAACTGCAACCGAGGTATGTGTCCTTAGTGGGAACTGAACCCGGGACTCTCCGGTCCGCAGGCCGACGCTCTAACCGCTGAGCCAAACCAGTCAGTGGGAATTCTGGTCTTTTGATGACTAAGTGGGGTGCTGGTAAAGTGGCTCTCTGGAAAAAAAGGGAGGAGAAAAAAAAAGGAACACAAACAAGATTCTGATTTGCTGCTTTTCCTGGAGTAAATACTCATACCATGGCTGACTTTGAGCCCCCAGTGGTTTCTGGCTGGTGGAATTCCTGGATATATAGTTGACTGTGGTGAGCTGGTAGGAATACAGGCTGCAGAGTGAGGGAGCCCAGGAACTGTGCAGTTAAGCCGGGCAGGGGCTCAGTACAGGAGACTCACACAGGATCAGTTACTGGAATTGGAGTCCAAGATGGGACTTGTTATGGAACAAAGCAAGATTGTAGAGCTAGAACCGAAGATCCCATAGGACTAGCAGAAGTCATCATAATGATGATAACGATCCCATCACAGTAATAGTATCTGTCATTTACTGAGTGCTTACAATTGGCTGGGCACCATGCAAAATAGCATCCATTCAGTTTCCATAGCTACCCTGTGGGGTAGGCAAAAATATCTCCAGTTTATAAGTGAGAAAACAGGCTTTAGTAGGGTAAGTAACTTGCACAAGGTCATAGAACTCATTATAAGTGACAGAGACAGGTGTTGGGTGGTTCCTGAGGCTCCTTGGTCACCACACAGTCCTCCCTCAGGGCAGCTGATGCAGAACCACTTGAAGTACTCAGCTGGGGCTTCTTTTTCCCAAAGGATGGGCTTGGGCCTGGGCCTTTCAGACATGAGGGGTCAGAGGCCCAGCTAAGGCAAAGAGGGTGCTGGACCTGGGAGGCAGAAAGGTGCATGTCTGGTACACAGGCTGAGTTAATTAGGCCATAGTGTGGGGCAAAAAGGTGGCAAAGTGTTCCCAAGCACCTGTCATTCCTCCTTGGGTAACCCTGACTATTGTCTGGCAGTAAATTTGTAGATGGCATTGGTAAAACTATCTAGTTTTCAAGAGGAAGGTCTTCAGTGAGCCCTTCCTGAGCTTGGGTTTGCCAGTAGCTGGTCGACATGACACAGGTGTCACTATGACCTCAAACCAAAGCCCAGACAAGAGGCAGGAACGAGCTGGACACAGCTATCAGTCTGGAGCATGAGTGCCCAGATGCTCTTCCAGGACTGTGGCCTCAGCTCTTGTTACAAGAGATTCCTATTTAATTGATGCCCTGGAGTCTGGCTCAGTGTCAGGAGCTGGGCATGCCTGTGAAGGGCAGGGAAGGTGGTTGTACTTGGCAGGTGGGGGACAGGGAGAGGGCTGACCTAACTGCAGGAGGAAGATGTAGTCTGGCAAGTCAAACCTGCTTCTGGAGAGTATTAACTCATCCTATACCTGTGTGTCAGGTGCTGTCCTGGAACCAAGGTATGGGCTTGTCCTCTCCTAAAGATGCTTGAGGAAGGGTGGGGAGGAGTGCAAATGAGGTGTGGATGTAAGAGTGTGCAGAGATAATAGTACAGAGATGGCATAAAGAAGGGTGTGGGTGTGTGGCTGCACGCTGAAAGTCTTCTGAAGGAGCAGACGTTCAACTGGGCTTATTGGGTGAGGAGGACTTGACTCATTGAGGCAGAGGATGGGGTATGGGGAGTTGGGGGGTATGTTTCAGGGAGGGACAGCAAACACAAAGACACAAGGCCTGGACCACTTGACCCCATGTGAGCTATGTGAAGTTTCTTATAATTGGAGACGATTGTGTGTGGGGGAGTGGGGATGGGCAATGGGAGGGACAAGGGTGATGGTCGGGAGGGGGAAGAAAGACTAGGAAAAGAGGCCGGGACTCCATCCTGGAGGGCCTGTGTGCCTGGCTTATGAAGGAGTGTGGATTTTATCCTGAAGAAAGGGGCAATTGAAGAGTCCTGAGCAGGCCCCACATGACCCACTTATGATTTAGTTGCATTAGGGAGAGGGAATAGGGAGGGGCCCAGGGGACGAATGGGAAGACTGGAGGGGGCTGTGATGGGAGGGAGGGGGTGTTGGGAAGAGGGAAGCTAGGGAACCAATTAAGTGGCAGGGCTGGGATTTAGGGGAATGCTCATCCCAGAGGGAACTTGCCAGAATGGGAGGTTCTCAGGTTTCCAGGGTGGCCCCTCTTCCAGGGGATGGGGGCATCATGTCACTGGGGTTCAGGCACAGGGCTGGAAACAAAGCCTGAGGTTAGGCCTGGCAGTGGGCTGACTAATGTATAGTGTTTTCCCATGCTCTCTTCACTGATGGCAAGCAGATGTGTCTTTTTGCTTTAAGGTTAATAAGTCCCCCCCTTTTCACTGGGGGAAAGTTGAGTTTTACGCGGAGGGCCAGTGCTCATTCACACAGCTCCGTGGGGCACCATGCAGCTTCCATGTTCTTTATGTACAGGTGGTTCTTCCTTCCCCTTGCTTCTCAGCCCTTCCTAGAGTCACCAAAGGTGGCTAAAGTCACATTCTCCCCCTCTTCCTCCCTTCTGTAACTGTCCCCTGTTGATGACAGCCTGTGGTTGGTACCAGCTGCAGGTGACAACCTCTATACCCCCAGGGACTCCTCCTTTTTTTTTTTTTTTTTTTTTTAAGTTTTAATTGTGGTTTTAAAAAAACCACATAGAAATTAAGATGCTAAATTTTAAGTGTACAGTTCAGTAGTGTTAACTATGTGCACATGGTTGAGTAACAGACATCCGGAATTTTTTCTTCTTGCAACACTGAAACGCTGCACCTGTTAAACTGCTATTCTCCCCTCCCCCACAACCACCATTCTACCTTCTGTCTGTACGAATTGATATCTCTTATAAGTGGAATCATATAAGTATTTGTCTTTCTGTGACTTTTTACATTTCATTTAGCATAATGTCCTTGAGTTTCATTCATGTAGTATGTGTCAGAATTTTCCTCCTTTTTAAGGCTGAGTAATATCCCATTATACGAATAACACCACATTTCTTTACCCATTCATTTATCCATGGACACTTGGGTTGCTTCCATTTTGTGGCTATTAGGAATGATTCTGCAGTGAAGATGGGGGTGCAGATATTTCTTTAATATCCTGCGCTTGGTTCTTTTGGATATATACCTAGATGTGGGATTCCTGGGTCATATGGTAAAATCTTTAATTTTTGAAGGAACCAAATGCTCTCTTCCATAGTGGCTCTACCATCTTACATTCCACCAACAATGCACAAGGGTTCCAATTTCTCCAGATCCTCACCAACACTTATTTTCTGTTTTTGTTTTATTTTTTTATAGTAAACATCTTAATGGGTATGAGGTGATATCTCATTGTGGTTTTGATTTGCATCTCTCATGATTAGTGATGTTGAACATCTTTTCATATGCTTGTTGGCCATTTGTGTATCTTTCTTGGAGAAAATATCTATTTAAGTCCTTTGCTAATTTTTAAATTAGATCATTTTGTGTATGTTGTTGAGTTGTAGGAGTTCTTTTTATATTCTGAATATTAACTCTTTCAGATATATGATTTGAAAATATTTTCTCCCATTCTGTAGGTTGCCTTTCAATCTGTTGATCGTGCCCTTAGATGTGCACAAGCTTCTTTTCTCTGCTTTGTTATCACATCTGCTGCTTCTGATCTCTGCCCTCCATCGCTGCTGCTGGTTACCAGTAAGTTGCATTTCCTCTACAGACTTGTCATAAAGAAAGAAAATTAGATTTTCTTAAAAATTTTTTTGTATGTCCTGACTTGATAATTTCTTTTAGTAACTCCCTTCATTCACTCATTCAGTTATTCATTCAACAAGAGGGCCGATACCGGCATCTCTGTTGAGCTATATTCTGTGCCGGGTGCTGGGAATACAGAGCCAAGGGTATTCTTGCCACAGACTCACTGCAGCCTGTCTCCTCCGTGATGCTTTCCTGACTGGCCCTGGATGCTTGGGTGGTCTTGCTTCTAAGGTCCTATAACTTGAAATGTTCCTCCAGCATCACAGTCATTGTATTGTTTTGAATTATTTGCACATCCCCCTTTCCATGACCGTGAAACTGCTTATTGTCACATCTTATTCATCTTTGTACACCACTGTGGAAGATGCCACATTTCTTAGGTAGCTGCTGGATGAATGCATGTGGGAGCCATGCCAGGCTGCCCATCGCTCAGCTGCAGACCTCCGCAGTGCCCCGCCTTCCTGAAGTGCAGCTTCCCTTTCTGCTGCCCATCCCAGGGCCTCACCCTGCCTCCTTTTTTAAGGGTTGCAACCGCTTATTTTGCCCTTGGGATGGTGCTCCCCCTAGATTAACTTCAAAGTGATCCATAGCCACCTTTCATTACCTCCCAAAACAGGCCTGTGGGTGACTGTTAATTACTACCGGGAAACATACTGGGGTCTCTTCTTGTGATGGTAAGTAGAAACTTTTATAAGCTTGGCTTATATATTTTGTGGGAATTAAATATTCCTCTTCATTTCAGCTCTCCTTTTGTTTCCCTCGCCCCTCGTGATCGAGTCCTCATTTCGTGGGGTCACACAGGCTGTCTGGCTAGTGGGCAAGATAAATAGGTACAATTGGGGGTGGTGGTAAAAGACTACACACTGCCAGCACTTATTGAGGGGGCCCAAAGAAGGGGATGCTAACCCAGAGTGGATGGGGCCTACAGGACAGGCAAGGCCTCCTGGAAAAATCCATTGGATTTCAGTCAAGAAAGGTGCCGGCAGGCTATGTAGATGAGTGAGGAGAGGTAGGGGTGGAGGAGTGGGGCGAGAATGAGTTAAAGAGATAGAGCTGAGGAGAGAAGGGACTCTTTTAAGAGGGAAAAGTATTGTCTAAAGCAGTGGTTCTCAAAGTGTAGTCTCCAGACCAGCTGCACTGGCATCATCTGGGAGCTTGTTATAAATTCAGATTCTCAGGCCACACCTGAGACCTACTGACTCAGAAACTCTGGGGGTGGGGCTTACCCTTCCAGATGATACTGGTGCTCAAGTGTGAGCACTACTAGTTAAAGATATGGGGAAGTCAGAGTGCTGTGTTCTGTGTACCTCATTCTCTAGAGATAAAGGCGGGTGTTGGGTAGGGAGTGATATGAGGTAAGCCACTGCATAAAAAGAGGGAGAATTTACTCTATTTTGGGATAGGAGTAGTGCCTTTATTTATTTATTTTTCTTTATTGATTTGAGAGAGAGAGGAAGGGGGAGAGAGAGCGAGAGAGAAACATTGATGAGAGAGAATATCGACTGGCCGCCTCCTGCATGCCCCCCACTGGGGACTGGGCCCACAACCTGGGCATGTGCCCTGACTGGGGATCGAACTGGCAACCTCTTGGTACATGGGTCAATGGTCAACCACTGAGCCAGACCAGTCAGGCATGTCTTTATTTATTAACAGATTAGTTGAACATTAATTTTATGAGGTTGGAATGCAAAAATGAATAATTGTAGTTTGAGATGAGTGAAAATGAAAACACAACACACCAAAACTAATGAGAGGCAGCTCAAGCAGTACTTAAAGGAAATTTATAGCAGTAAACACCTGTACTGAAAAAGAAGAAAGATCTCAAATCAATGACTAACCTTCCAGCTTAAGACATTGGAAGAAGATGAAACTAAACCTAAAGCAAACACAAGGAAATAAAGATTAGAGAGAAAATTAATGAAATAGAGACCAGAAAACAATATAAAAAATCTGTGCCCAACTGGTGTGGCTCAGTGGATTGAGTGTCATCCTATGGACTGAGGGGTCCCAGTTCAATTCCCGGTCAAGGCACATGCCCAGGTTGCGGGCTTGATCCCCAGTGGGGGAATGCAGGAGGCGGCCGATTGATCTGTCTCTCTTACATCGATGTTTCTATTTCTCTCTCAAAAATCAATAAAAACATATTTTAAAAAAAGACTCAAATTACCAAAATTAGAAATGAAAGAGGAGGCATTACTGTGGGCCTTACAGAAATAAAAGGATTATAAGGGGATACTATGAACAGCTTGGGCTGCCATAGCGAAATACCACAGACTGGGCAGCTTAAATAACAGACACTTATTTCACTTGGTTCTCAAAGTGTAGTCTCCAGACCAGCTGCACTGGCATCATCTGGGAGCTTGTTATAAATTCAGATTCTCAGGCCACACCTGAGACCTACTGACTCAGAAACTCTGGGGGTGGGGCTTACCCTTCCAGATGATACTGGTGCTCAAGTGTGAGCACTATTGGAGGCTGGAAGTTCAAGACCAAGGTGCTGGCAGGTTTGGTTTCTCTTGAGGCCTCTCTCCTTGGCTTGCAGACAGTCACCTGTCTGTGTCCCCACATGGTTTTCCTCTGCTTATGTATATCCCTACTGTCTCTGTGTGTCCTAATCTCATCTTCTTATAAAGACTCCAGTCAGATTGATTAGGGCCCATCCAAATGGTCTCACTTAAACTTAATTACTTCTATAAAGGCCCTATCTCCAAATATGGTTACATGCTGAGGTACTAAGGGTTAGGGCTTCAACATATGAATGTTGTGTGTGTGTGTGTGGGGGGGGGCGCACACAATTCAGTTCATAACAAATTGTATGCCAACAAGTTAGATAACATGGATGAAGTGGACAGATTCCTAAAAAGGCACAACCTACAAACTAGCAAAACTGACTTAAAAATAGAAAATCTGAATAGACCTATAACAAATGAAGAGGTTGAAGTAGTAACTAAAACACTTAACATAGGAAAGCCAAGGCCCAGATGTCTTCAAGGTGAATTTTACCCAACATTGACAAATTTAATACCAATTCTTCATAAATTCTTTCTAAAATTAGAAGAGGAGAGAATACTTCCCAACTCATTCCAGTATTGCCTTGATATAAAGTTCAGACAAATACATTAAGCACAAGAAAAACACATATGAACATAGACACAAAAATCCACAATAGAATACTAGAATACCAAATCTAGCATCATATGAAAAAGATCACACACCCTGAGCAAGTGGGATTTATCCCAGGAATGCGTGGTTGGTTTAACATCTGAAAATCAATTAATGTAATATACTATTTTGATGGAATTAAGAAAAAAGCTGGCATAATTATTACAATAGATGCAGAAAAAATACTTGACAAAATCCAACACCCTCTCATGATAAAAACACTCAACAAACTAGAAATAGAAGGGAACATCCTTGACTTGATAAAGGTCATCTACGAAAACCCACACTAACATCATCTTAAATTGTGAGAGACAAAGCTTTCACTTAAAGACCAGGAACCAGGCACAATGCTTGCTCTCACCACTTCTGTTCAACATTGTGCTGGAAGTTCAAGCCAGGGCAACTAGGCAAGAAAAAGAAATGAAAGCATTCGGATTAGAAAGGAAGAAGCAAACTATCTCTATTTGCAGATGACTTGATTTTGTGTGTAGAAAATCCTGAGGAATCTAATACAACTGAGTCACTAAAACCTGCTTCCTACTTTCAAGGCACTTCCAGGCAAGGAGGGGAACAGTATAAATGAGTGTGTATGTGTGAGTATTGTGGGAGAAGTGTTTCCTGGAAATGTTTCAGCTGGATCCATGTGGAGTATGTAGGCATCTGAATGGGAGATTGCAGGATGGATGACTGGGGTGAGGGCAAAGGTGGGCATTTCAAGCAGAGAAGAATATATGCAAGGAGACTCAGTTTGGCAAAGCAGGGTCATTGATGAACTGAGAGTGGGGTTTGTGGGTTAGTGTGGCAGAAAAGCCAAGGAGGTGAGCAAGGCCCTTATATACCACCAAAGACTGATTACATGATCATGTGCAGTGTCTGGGTTTACAAGGGTCCCTGGACTTGTCTGTGTGTTCATTTGGCCTGGATAGAAGTGGTGCGGTCTCAGCATTAGGTCTGTTTCTTTTCCAGGTTTCTGGGTGGAGCGCACTCCTGTGCATGAAGCCGCCCATCGAGGTGAGGCCCTGGAGTTGCAGCAGCTGATCGAGAACGGCGCCTGTGTCAACCAGGTCACAGTGGACTCCATTACACCCTTGCACACAGCCAGTCTGCAGGGCCAGGCACAGTGTGTGCAGCTGCTGCTGGCTGCGGGGGCCCAGGTGAGCAGCCCTTTAGGACACCCATGGAGCCTGATTGTGACCGTGGGCATAGATGAGGCCAGCTCAAGAGATGTGTAAAGGGAGGAAAATAAGGGGTTTGGGATTTGCATTCTGGTGATTTGCAAACACATGGGAAGTAAAGAAGCCACTGCAGAAGACTGAGCAGGAAAGGAAGGAGGAAACCAGAATGGTGTGTGGTGGGAGCCCAGGGTGGGGAGAGGAGGTCTCTGTGTCAACTGCACACTAGGACCAGTAAGTGTGGTCATGGACTTGGCTGTTAGGGGGGGTCACTGGTGGCCGAAGAGAAGGCAGTTTTAGCAAAACGGTGGAGGGAGTGCCCTGCTCTGCACGAGGGAGGGGGTCTGGGAGACCCTTGGTTCAAGAGCTGCTATTTGGGCTCAGAGAGCAGGATGACTAAGTGGGATGCTGGCAAACTGGCCTATGGAAGAAAGGTAAAAGGGAAAAAAATAGGTTTCTGATCTGATCTGCTTTCCCAGTGTAAGCATTCATGCCACACTGATGTCAGCCCCCGGTGCTTTCCTGCTGGCGAATGGCTGGATGTTTCACAGTGGGCTGGGCGAGCTGGTCCAGACACGACTGGGCTGGATGGCGTTGGGGTTCAGAGTGAAAATTGTGCACTGCTTACTTTTTCCAAAACCTTGGCCATGAATACAGTTCAAGAGGAAGTGGAATAAGCTTCAGCATGTACCCAAATAGCAGCTGAATTTGGACAAGTCCTAAGCAGAATCTGCCAGTTGGGGAGATGCCTTTTTCCTGCCCTATGATTTTCTAACCAGAGGAGGCATGTTAAGCAGTTTCAGGCACTCCTGGCTGAGGCTGGAGTTAAAGCCCCTTTTTATGCCCTGCCTGCCTCAGCTGGAACCTGGAACTCTCCTTGCCGGCTTTGTGCTTATTAGGTGTTGGGGTGGTGGTGAGAGTGAGGCTGAGTTGATCATGCCCAAGAAAGAAAAGAGCCCCAGACAGAACGACGCCTGTGCTTAGGCGGCTAGTAGGCAGTCCCAACCCAAGTTCCTTTGATCCATAAACTCCCCGCCTGGCACGGAGCCTTAGCACGTACTAGAAACCTGAACACTTCGTAGAAAAACTAAGAAGTGTCTTTGCCCAGATGAATGTACATCAACATGAGAAAGTGAATTCCCTCCTTGGTCCTGTAACACCTGTTTCTTCCTCCCCACAAGGTGGATGCCCGGAACATTGATGGCAGTACCCCTCTCTGTGATGCCTGTGCCTCAGGCAGCATTGAGTGTGTGAAGCTATTGCTCTCCTATGGGGCCAAGGTCAACCCACCCCTGTATACAGCCTCCCCGCTGCACGAGGCCTGCATGAGCGGTGAGTCAGGTGGAAGGGAACCGTGTGGACAGGAAATGGAAGCCATCCGCTGGCCCAGGAGAGCTTCTGGTCTGTATCTGGCTCTTGGTTGTTTGGCCATGAAATGCTAAGCTTTCCTCCTGGAGATACAGTCCTCACGCAAGACTAGGGGGCTGTTGATTCCATGATGGAATTCTATTTCTTAGCAGACACTCAGACACTAACACTGGAGATCGGTCTACTCTGCAGTCTTTTTCTTGGTCTTTGCCTTGTGAGCACCTGATTTAGTTGGGAAATGAGACCCAGACATGTCCCTGAGGACAGTTGCTCTCAGAGGAGGGGAAGTTGGTCCTGCAGGCTCAGGGAGCAGGTGGGATTTCAATTGCCTTCCAAGAATTAATGGATTTCAGCTGGTGGGAGGCTAAGAGGAAGGCTGCGTACAGGAAAAGTGACATCAAGTTTCACTGGATCAGAAACTCCCAACAGACAAGCAACAACAGATGAGACTGGAAATTTATGGCGAGACTACCTGGTGGAAATTTTTTAAATCACAGACTAAGGATTTTGGATTCTACTCTTTTGAGCAGAGGTTGCAAACTTGCAGCCTGTAATTTGATGGACCGGTACAGGGTTTGTCTTGGTTGCACTTCACTGGGATGTGCAGTGTGTCCTCTTTTGTGCCTTCATGCAGGGCCACTGTTCTCTGCTGCCTCATACCCTGATCCCCACTGTTAGGTCACCCTTTATCACTCTCAGGCACTGGGGATTGCTACAGGCAGCTCTGGAAGGTTACTGAGCAGATGCTGAATGACTGGAAAACAGCATTTTTGAAGGGTTAGTTTAATGGCCATCCATGTACAGTGTAGGGGAGGAAATTTTTTCCTTTACCTACCTTAGGTTCACTGGCTGGGCCCCAGTAATTAGGTGACAAGGGACCGATTAAATAAGAGAAAACAAAAGTTTGTTAGTGTGAGTGGTGCGTCTCAGATACACATGGGAGAACTTGGCAAGGTGTCACACAAAGGAGTGGTTAGAACTTGGGCTTATATAGAACAATACATGTTTAGAGAAATGACAAGACAAAAGAAAAGGATTTTGAGCTTCTGGGATGGCAAGTTGTGGGGAGGCAAATATATGGAGAAACTAATGGTAGATGGGGCTGGTTTTAGCAACTCCACTTAGAGTTGTCTCTGGTGATTAACTTCTGTCCTTCCTGGTAGAGAGGGGAGGGGGACACCTTTACAAATATATGTCCTTTTAGGCAATTTTGGGGGAGGGCAGAGAGCTTTTCTTCTATCTGTTTTATCTCAATTGTCTTCAGTTCAAAATAAATCTTATGCCAAAGTGGCATATTTTGGGGTAGCATGTTCTACCCTTCAATAGACTGAAATGGGGGTGGTGGTGGGGATATCCTGGAAGTGGAAAGATGAGTTGGAGGCAACACAGTGATCCAAGTGCAAAGCTCTTAGAGTCCAAGTGGGATGGATTCATTTAGAAAACAGAAGAATTAATGGGCTTGATAGCAGGGAGAGGAAAACATGGGATCAAAACCTATTCAGGGTTGAGCAGGGAGTGTGGCCAATGGCTGAGGTATATTGGCCAGGAGGATGCACCCCCAGGGAGGGGGAGGGGCGGGGCCTGGTAGTGATTAAGGCATTCCAAACAAGAATGGCCAGCAGACAGCTGTAGGAGAGGGGCTGGGTTTCAGGGCTAGAGGTGGAAACTCAGTAGTTGCTAACAGGAAGTGTGATCAAGAGATGAGAGAGGATGGAGTCTTGTATACACTGAATCTTGACCCTAATCTGGGTTAAAGATACCCGGAGAGGAGCCAGGGGAAGAGGCAGGAATGGTGTCTGTGGGCTGGGGACTCGTGGTAAGAAAGTTTAGGTAGTTCACCCAGGAGGCTTGGACTGGGGATGCCAGAAGCTTTATGTCATCACCCTCAGACTGGGTGTGCCCAACACAGCTTAGGAGGGAATCCCAAAGCGGGAGCACCTTCTCTCCCACTCAGGAGCTGGGGAGCAGTGAGGAGAGTCTTCTCTGGCTGTTCTGAAGTGGTATTCCCAAACTTTCTGTTCTCCTAGAAACAGAACTGGCTGTGTACTCCATTTCTGCTAAGGCCAGGCAGGCTTGGAGCACTGTTGTGCCCTCAGGAGAAAGAACAACCATCCACTTGCTTCCTAGGACCACATAGGGTCTTGAACTGCTCTTAGCTTGGGATGTTGTCCTGGTTCTCCTCTCTACCCTTGCAACCAAGCATGGGGCTTAACCTGTTCCAACCACCAGTTCAGTCATGCTTGTTATTTCAAATATATATATCAGTGATTTTCAACCAGTATGCCCAAGAATTTTTAAAACATGCAGTACCTGACTATTTAGTCGGGGGTACTGACCTCCTTTCCCTTTGATTGTCAAATACAAAAAAATGCCAACACAACAATAGCTGTTCGGTGTGAATGCCCTGTCTTGAACCATAAATATATAGGTCATATAATAAAGTTGCATAATAAGGTTGCATCTGATTGGTTAATTATTAGTACCAGAAATCCTTATATACAAGTATAGGCACTTGCTTTTTAAAAAAGTCACTTTGCCATAGATAGGTGGCTCAGTTGGTTGGAGCATTGTCCCGTATACCAAAAAGGTTGCGAGTTTGATTGGTGGTCTGGACACATACAGGAGATGGCTGGTTGATGTTTCTCTTGCACTTTGATGTTTCTGTCTGTCTGTCTGTCTCTCTCTTCCTCTCTCTAAAAAAAAAAAAAAAAATTAATAAAAACATTTTTGGCCCTGGTTGGTGTGGCTCAGTTGGCTGGGTGTCATCCTGTGCACTGAGAGGTTGCCGGTTCAATTCATGGACAGGGCACATGCCCAGGTTTCGGGCTAGATCCCCAGTAGGGGGTGTGCAGGAGGCTGCCAGCTGATGTTCTCACATCAGTGTTTCTCTCTCTCTCAAAATCAATGACAAATCTTTTTTTTTTTTTAAACTAAACAAATCCTTGGGTGAGGATTTAAAAAAAAAAGTCACAGGGGAACAAAACGTAGGTAATTACTATAATAATTACTATTATTATTTTGTAAATCAATGAAAATTATACCTATTTTTTTGTCAGAGCGGCCAAATATTTATATATATATTTTTGGTGTGCCACAGGATTTTAGTAGTTAAAGTGTGCAGTGTGCCATGAGCTGCAAAAGGTTGAAAATCACCGGTACATATTCATTGACAGTTTTCATTCTTTTTCATTTCTTTTAAGGAAGTTCTGAATGTGTGAGGCTTCTAATTGACGTTGGGGCCAATTTGGAAGCACATGATTGCCATTTTGGAACCCCTCTGCATGTTGCTTGTGCCCGGGAGCATCTGGACTGTGTCAAAGTGCTGCTCAATGCAGGTACGTTGTGTTTATACCTGCACTGCTCAAAGCAGGCATGCTGTTGGTATTTACCTGAACTGCTCCATGCAGGTTTCTTATGTTTATGTTCACTGTGTGCCAGCCGAGAGCTAGGTGGTAGACTACACTCAGGTTTGAAGCTAGCTTTCCCACTGGCCAGCTGAGACTTTGAGCCTCAGTTCTTTATCTATAAAACTGGAAAAATAAAACCTTTTTTGCAGGTTTGTCAGCAGGATTTGTGATAATGTTTTCATAGTACCTGGTACATAGTAGTGCTCAACAAATGCTAATAATTATTTTTATTGGCTACAGGACACTACTCATAAAACCTGTTTAATAAGGTTGCTGTCTAAACAAGAGATGGAGAATCATTAGAAAATGGGGTTGGCAGCATTTGGAATCTAGGTCATTGTCAGGTGTTCTAAAAATACCCAGGATACCTCTGGTAAAGATGGTGGAACAGGTCACCACTGTGCTCACCTCCTCCCATGACCACCTCAAAATCACAACTAAATTATAGAACCACCATCACTGAGAACTACTTGAAGACTAGATGAGCAGAACTAAGGATATATAGAAGAAGCCACATCAAGTCTGATAGGAGGGGTAGAGATGTGGCAAGGGCAAGTCCCACACTGATAGTATAGCAATTTAGAATCAGGAGGGATATCTCAGCTGCAGAGGTCCCTGCTAAAGAGTGAGGGTTCTCAGAACTACATCAAGCTCCCCAGCTTGGACCACCAGTGCACAGAAGAGGAGCCCTCATGGCATTTAGCTATGAAAGCCAGCAGGGACTCCCTTTGAGTGAGGATGGAGGGCTGAGGGAGACCAAAATGTTCCTTTTGAGGGGCTTAAACATATACTCACTTGCTTATAGACTCGCTCACAGACTCACTTGCTCTGGATTTTAATGTGGGGGCAGCAGATCGAACAATCACCAGGGGCACATGGGTAGAGATAGTATTGACTAGCTTCAGGACAAGGGATGTAGGGGAAGGGGTCAGGGCAGCTTCCTCTGGAGACAGAAATGTTGATAGGCACTATTGCTTCCTTGTTGAGCTCATGTCCCACCCAGCTGGCAAATCTGAGTTCTCCATTAACCTGACTACCACCATTAGTCCCACCTTGGTAAATCTCTAAGACCCTGCCCTACCCAACTCACGTGCCCTACCCAAGCTGCTTCCAGGGGCTTTTCTACACAAGTGGACTGATTCCGCTTGTGCTGAGGACTTTCCTAAAATCTCTCTAATTATACAAACCCCAGACAAACAGCAGCTGGTCTTGGCATGCCCTGAACCTCTTACTAAGTGGTCTGAAGCCCAGCACAAGCAGCAACTCATCTCAACTTGCATTGTAACTCCCATCAGGTGACCCAAATTCTGGCATAAGCTGTGGCCAGTGTTGGCCTGGAATGTAGCTTCAACTAAATGGTCACATACTTGGAACAAGAGGCAACTGGCCTCAGCTTGCATTGTGGTACTCACCAAAGTGTCCCAAGCCCGGCACTAGTGGCAGTGGCCTTTGTTCACAAAACAGTTTCTCCAAAATGCCTTCAAGCCCAAGACAAGTGGTAACCAACCACTGATCACTTTGCAGGTGACCCCAAGCTGGACACAAATGGCAGCTGACTTTGACCTGTTCTAGAGCCTCTTCCAAGAGACTCCAGAACCATACCTGGTGGCCAACTTCAGACCACACCAGAGCATCACCCAATCAGCTCCACAAATAACACACTCAAAGGGTGGACTTTGCTGGCACCAGAGCCCCACTAAAGTGACTTCCATTTCATCAGGTCAGCCCCCATACAACAGATTGTCTGCTGTAATCAGAGCCAGTCCTCATAGCCAGTCAGCCTGAGGGTCAATCCCATCCAGTGATGTGCCAACAGCAATCAAGGCTCAACTATAACAGGAGAGAACACACAACAAACACAAGAGACACTCCTGGAACTCCTGGCTGAAGTGAACAGGGAGATTGTGCCACTGGGCCTTATACTACATAAGGCCACTTTGCCAACTGGGAGATGTAGCAGACTTATCAAATACCTAGAAACAAACTCAGGAAGGCAGCCAAATGAGAAGACAATGAAACATGTCCCAAACTCCAGAAAAAGAACTAAACAGGATAAAGGTACCCAATATACCAGATGCAGGGTTTAAAACCTGGTTACAAGGATGCTCAATGAACTTAGGGGAAGAATAAGTGAACTCAGTGAGAACATTAACAAAGAGAAACCATAAATAAGAACCAGTGAGAAATGAAGAATACAATAACTGAAATGCAGTATGAAAGAAGAGGGAATCAACAGCATATTAAATGATGTAGAAGATCAAGTCAGTGATCTGGAAGACAGGGTAGTGGAAAACACCCAATCCGATCAGCAAAAAGAAAAAAGAATTTTTAAAAAGAGAATAGTTTAAGGGACCTCTGGGACAACATCAAATATACCAACATTTTCATCATAAGGATACCAGAAGGAAAAGAAAGAGAACAAGGGATTGAAAACCTACTTGAAGAAATAACGACTAAAAACTTCCCTAACCTGGTGAAGGAAATAGACATACAAGTCCAGGAAGTGCACCCCACACTGCAGGGCAGCAGTCCAGTGGGGCAGGGTTGGAAAGGAGTAGGAAGGGGACATAATGTCTGTTAAGGCCTGAAGCAGGGCGCCTGGTCAATTTTAAAGGGAGTTTCCATACACCTGGGAACTTGAATGAGGGATGAACAGAATTCTCCTGGGATGGTTCCCCGTGTCAGTGTCATCACATACTGTTGTTTACTGCCACTGTACTGTCAGCTCTAGACTCAGTCCTTGCTATTCTCATTTCAGATGGTCTCCTGTATATCCTGCTTAGATCACATGAAGTCTTTTTCCTATTTAAAAAAAACTATTATTTAACTCTGGGAAGTCTCAAGCACATAAAATGTAGAGAGAAAAGGACAGCATATGGTTTCTTTTTAAAGTCGTGATTCTTAACTTTGTGTGTATGGGGTAGGGCAGGGGTTTGGGGTTGGTCACAGACCCCTTGGAAAATAAAATGAAGGTCACCAAGCACATTTCTAGAAAAATAAGCTAGCAGGTGTTTTAGCACTCAATTTCAGAGAGGGTCCAGCCCTGCTTGAGGAGCTGAGCTGTGAGGACCATGTGTGCCCCATGTGTAGTTAGGAAGCTGTCCATCTTTTGTGGCCAGCAAGTCCAGGTTGCTGAGCTGCAGATAATTTTTACAGAGGAGGAGGGCTGGGGAAGGGGAAAGTTCCGTTATTACAGTGGGGTAATTTTTAATCTGATCACTGGCAGTAAATATTTAACTCTGCTGGAGGTACTGTGAGGAGCTAATTAAGCAGTGTTTGCTTTGCCAGTGCAGTACTTGTCATATGTTTCTCAGAGACTGTTTCAGCCAGCATAGGACTGAGCTCTGTGTGCCTGCTCTGCCCAGGAATTGTGCTGGGTTCTTGGTGTGCTAAGCTGGTGAAAGTGCCTTATCTTTGCTGGCTAAAGTTTTACTCAGTCCACTGCAATCCCATTTTGCTTTGAATCAGGATTTTGATAATGAGCAGACTTTGACCTGTTTTCTCTGAAGCATGAACTTGAGATTTTTTTTTTTAAATTCTCACCCGAGGATATTTTTCCATTTATCTTCAGATGGAGTAGGAGGGAGAGAGAGAGAACACATCGATTGGTTGCCTCCTGCACGACCCTGACCAGGGCCAGGGACCAAACCACAACCAAGGTATGTGCCCTTGACCGGAGTCAAACCCAAGATTCTTTGGTCCACGAGCTGACACTTTAACTACTGAGGCAAACTGGCCAGGGCTGAAGTTGAGAATTTCTAATGCCCAGAGGCATTAGCTGTTCCTCTCTCTCTCCATATCTCTATATCTCTCTCCCCATTCAGTTCGGGGCACATCATAATTATTAGTTTCCGTAAAGCCACTCACTCCAACCCCACTTCTCCCTTGTCTCTTTCCTCTACCCCCCCCCCCACATCCCACCATTCTAATGTTAATGTGTATGTGTTCTATCTGTATGTGTTTTTGTAAGATAGACATTGTTGGGTGAGGCATAAATTTTTAATGGACATAAATGGTATGTTATATTTCCTGTTTTTTTACTCAGCCCTGTTTTCAATACCCACCCATGTTGCCCTGTGTACCTCTGGTCTGCTGTTTCCAGCTGTTGTAGAATATGCCAACCTCCCTTGTAGTCCCCAGTCCTTTCATTATACCCAATCAAACGATGCCACGTTTTTAAGAGATCCCGTTTTTTTACCTTGGGATGGCTAACTCTAGGAAAGAGTCACCCTTCCAAGGCCTTATATACTGAGAAATGACATGGAATGGGATGGAAGGGGAGGTGTGATTTTTAGAGATATTTCCGGCCATAGTTTTCTCCTTCACTATAATAGTAGCTTTAGTTCCCCCTGTGTTCCTTTCTCTGTCGCTAAAATAGACAATCTCTTTCATTCCCTGTTGGCAAGAATACCTGTAAACTGCTTGTGAAAATGAATGACTTTGTTCTTTGCTTCTTTTTAGTTTCCTATTATATGCACATGTTAATGTTTAAAAAATAAATGTTATTTTGAAAACCTAAAAAAAAAAAAATTGCAAGAATTAATGACCTGAGAGAAAGCTATTTGAACTTCAGATTTGATAGACTTTACAATTTATTTTTCATTCCAAGTTTGTATTTAGCATTCAAATTCATATTTTCATTTTGACTGCAACACTATACAATTTATTATTCTATTCATTCACATTAGTTAGTATTAGACCCGGACCCCTGATGTGGTATAATGGTCAGATTGCAGGGGAAAATGTTCCTTTTATTTAATGTATTGCTTTTCAATATTATTTTTGTAATACACATCTGACAAATTAAATAATTAGGTAGTTTAGCCTTCTTTCTAATTGAGGGATTGTTTTTCCTGACCTGACTTCTGAGTTTGGCTGTGGGAAGTGGGGAGAACATCTCCTCACTTGTGCTATCATGATGGAATGCT